ACATGTAGTAACTTTACCCAACTATCGGATTCATTAGTTAAACTCACCTGTAACTCCTTCAGATATCAAGCTATGAACCGTTATTTTCTTTGCGATCAAATACAATTCACGATTCAGTCTAATGTTACCCAGTGTACTTAGAAAATAGCTATCTAACTGCAGATATCGACACTGGTATCAAGATACATCTAGCTAAAATAAGATGAAACACGAGTCTTGAATCCTAATATTGGCAGCAATCTGACTATTCTACACAACTTATATCGACAATTCATAATGCTGATAATATACAGTTATGGGTATTTCAGATCGTTTCAAATTTTAGAGTGCTAGTCGTTCGTAGCCACTAAAGTACGTTTTAGACAGATTTGATAATTTATTGAGTCACTGAAATGTTACTGGGTACTAGCCAAGTAATTTGACACGCCGGTCAATGAATGTCAGGTAGTTAGCTGATCTTCATTGGGGTCAACAACAACCAACGTGCATCACTCAGGAGAAGGCTAGTGAGCAAACTCCCATTCGCCTCATTCGTCCATTCGCACATTCGCCCGCTAGTATTTCTGCCCCGTCTGCTTGTGATGCGCTGTCCTATTTTGTGGTGTGCTAAAAATAGACCAGATCGACACTTCGTATTTGCCTTGTGATTTATAACCGTCAGGGGCTTATTGGTGACGATTTCCTAGACGAGCTTATTACGAAGCTTAAGAACACGTAGAAACTGGTCACCACAGGTTAACCTGAAATATCTTTTCGTAATAACCCGGGGACTTGCTAGAGTAAATGTTCTCACTGGGCAACAGCATACTTTAATATTACAAGTTAATAGGAGTACAAGGATGGACCGTTTCTGATTGCGCCTTTCCATGGAATGTAATTGACTGATGCGCGTTGATTGTTTTAAAATAAAACCGCCAAATAAGCAGCTTCGTCTCCGATAGATGACACCGAACATGAATGCACAAACTTCAAAAGTGAGTTGACAACTAGTGACCTTACAAACGCGACTGTAATGAGATTTATATTACTAGTAAAGCATATTAGGACTCCACCACGCTTCCTGATTCCATTCCTAACACTTCTTAGGTAACCATGTGAAACATTTCTGGATTACCATCAAAGATATATCCCTACATACTCGTTGCCAATAAAACTCTTCTTCTACATGTTTCACAGTCAAGTCTTTGACTTCTTTCATAACAACAGTAACTACCAAGGCACATTCTTCACCCTAAGTTCTCATGTCTGAAACTATTAATAAATCCTCAAGATCGGTAGTTCTGCAAGCCATCAAAATTGTTCATTACGTCAATAATCTTACTGGACACCCACTATTCATGTCCGTCTGAAGATACGATTCTATGAAATAACATCATCCAACTAAATCATCATTTGGCTCCTAATTACCGCCGTCTCACAACCGGGGTTCACCTAGCGGATATATGCTGGAAATAAAGGGAAGAATTATTTTGTATAACATTCAGTCTGTCCGTATTGGAGTCAGAGTGCGCAGCAATAAACATTGTCTAGCTCTGAATATTCGTGACATTCTCAAATCACAAGTGAAGTTACCATCACCTTCCTGATGGTCAGCACCAAAAAGCCTATCGGCCACTGATTCAGTAATATCTTACTCTTACAGCATCATATCGAAAAGCAGTGGGGGTAAGCGTCCAACATCAGTTGTTTGACGTAGGCTTCAATCAAGCACACAGCTTGTGAAGCCATTTTCTACACTCATCACTCTATATTTCTTATCCCAAGGCAAAATAACATCTTGACCCTTCACATTTATTAGTAAAGACAGCCACTTTGAGCAGATTTAGGGCTGTAAAGACCCAATAAGATATATACACAGGATGCTAACCAGTATGGAAAACTATTCCTTTCTTTAGAACATCTGCTAACAAAATGACATTATTTTCAACATATTTAGCCTTCCTGTGACAGTTACCTCATACTGTTCACTCTTCTAAATTATATGCTTTTCCCATATTCTCTGTGTAATAATCAAACTAGCTTCAAAAGTTGAAACATTGCAAAACAATCAACGTATGCATCACCACCACTCTCCTCGATGTAATCCTCGAAAATTTGCTCACCAAAGAGAGAATACTCAGGTTCGTGAGCACTTTTTCTCAATAAGAGTCGTTGCAACTTAAAGTGCCCTCCCAGCCGAGGTAACCACAACCCCTCAGTGGACAGCTATAAGAAGAGACTTGATAATCACATACACACATACGGATTATCATCACATTCTTGGACACGCTGTGCCTGATGCATGCCTTGAGACTCGCTAGTCGTTATTATTGCCATCTCCCCAAATAACTAACTTAATCTATCTCGCTTATTATCTCTGTTTCCTCTCCATCGCTTACACCACGGTCCTCTCGCACAATCTTCACTACCAATCAATAAGCTAAATAATCCATTATTTACTTAGTCCTGAAATCTTACTCTTATTAGCATCAGAATTTTCTCCTTATTACTCTCCATATTGCAAATAAACGATCTTCCATCTAGTAACGTGATAGTTGCTGGTATCCAGAAACCCTACTGCCCTGAAATAAACTTATTCCTTCAAATCATAGGACATGCAAACTCACAACCAACTGCCAACTGACTAGAACTAGATAGTCGAGTGGCTAGACTCCCATTCATTAGACTCTCTCAAACAGCTGGAACCGTACCGAAAGAAAAAGAATCGAGCGCAATGAAATCAATCGATTTACACTAGCTCATGAAAAATATGTAGTGGCATACTGTTACCAATAAAACGCAGTTGCTGAAATATAAACATTTATCATTGTACTTAATTCTGACAACAATTGTTATATTGTACACCTCTTGTTTATCTGTACTATCGACTATCTCCAAAGGCGCCGAGTGCGTTATTCCCATTCTCCTCTTCGCACGTCTCCTGAATAGACGTGAGCCGTTTGTACGCCCTCTGGCCTCGATATTATTTCGATATCACGAGGCTAGCATTAAATATACTTCTTCCCCTAGAACCGCCTTCAAATCTTATTCTCAGAGTAACGGGATTAACATTTGTTATCCCGCGAAGAAGTATGTTATCCAATTCGCTATAATGGTGAGCCAAAACATCGAATACGCAGTGAATTCGGTGAGTCTGTAATTTCTCTACCCAGTTTTCTTACTATATTATCTGTTGCGTAATATATATCGTTATTTTCATATAGATTACAACTGCAGCAGCACTCAAAAATGGTAGACAAACTTAAAAACGAGGATATTTTAGCAGACTCCTAGATAGAGGTTCTAAATTTTCGACCCATAGAGTTCATCTCCCACGGTCCAGAAGTCTGGTTCGCGGACCTGGAAGCTCAGTTTGACATACCCCGCATTACGGCCAGCAGGAAATGTACGCCTACGCCCTAGAATCTCTACCTGGGGATCATATGGCCGCCGTTCGTGAGATTGCCCTCATTTCTGGTGTACCAGACGTCTACGATCGTCTCGAGCAGGCTATTCTTCGACATTTCCTCCCATCGAGCGAGGAACTATTGAGGACACTTTTAGCACTTCACCCCTTGGGTGATGCTAAACCTACCAGCCACCTCACGCTCCTTCAATCATTGGCAGGACCAACGGCATCTGACTCTGACATCGTTAGAGCATTGTGGCTAGAGGCCTTACCAGCCCATGTCCAGCCTACGATTACTGCAGTCGTCTCATTTTTCAAGATCGTTCCACTGTTCCTGAACCCCACGTCGCCGGAGCCCTCTCTCGGTAATCCGCACTAACGCTAGGTACCTCAATGACACAGATGCCTAGGTTTCTATCGTACCACTTGGTCGCTGCAAGCCCGAATAATAGAGGTATTTAATTCGCACGATGACACTTTCCAGCTAACTAAACCACCCGAGGCGAACCCATCGGTGACTCATTATGTGGTACACCACATCGTAACCTGAGGACCACCAGTCACGGCAAGACCTCGCCGACTGGCACCGGACAAATTACTTTTCACTAAACGTGAGTTTGACAATTTACTAGCTCCTGGTATTGTTCGTCCTTCTCACAGTCCTTGGGCCTCACCACTCCACATGGTTAGCAAAAAGGATGCGATATGTCGGAGTCCATGTGGCGAATACCGTGCATTAAACGTAGTAAGACCTTTCGATAGCTATCCCGTCCACCGCCTACACGACATCGTGAAATCTCTAGAGGGCAAAAATATCTATTCTATAATTGGTCTGGTACGAGAATATCATCAGACCCCAGTCTCTCTTGAGGATATTGAGAAAACTGCTATCACGACTCTGTTCGGTCTTTTTGAGTTCCTACGAATGACATTAGGATTACAAATGCTGCTCAAACTTTTCAAAGTTTTATCGACAGCATAGTACGAGACTTCGATTTTGTTCGATTTTATACTGATGATCTGCTAATCGCATCATCAAATGTAGATAAACACTATCAACATCTTACGCTCTTATTCCAACGCCTTTCGGATAATGGAATAGTAGTTAACCCAGACAAGTGTGAACTGGGCAGAGCAGAAATAAAATTTTAGGGTCAGATCATTAAGAATGAGGGTATTCTAACTTGTGAAGATAAAGTACATACATTCATGGAGTACACTGTACTCCACTGTACTGATATTGGATATTGGACTTGGGTCAGTCTCTTCAAGGACGGCATGTATAGTCAAAAGCGTTTATGTATTATAAGCTTCTTGTCCTTAAGCTATTAACTTCCAGTTTCTATTATCAGTTTTTCCTAATCTTGTTTTTGTGTTATTCCGATTGATTTATCTAATTAATGTAAGCGCTTAGTGAGTTGTTCTCACTTTTCTTTTTTGTTTTCTTCACTTCCTCAGTACACAAGGTTCCTTCCTGCTAAAACAAATCCTGGACTTTACGTATATTTAGTTGATACATCCAGACTTCTTCCATCGGTAACTCTAATGGGTTATTATTTCTTCTAGAGCATATAAATCTCAACTTATTTTGATTCACACGGTATAATTCAATATGGATATAACTATTCTCACATCTATTATGTCCGGAGGAATTGGTGTTTTGGTCGGTTGGTGTGTGTTCCGCAGGTTCGGTGGCAAAGTAAGTTACGGTGTTTTCTGATGGCGTGGTCTACAACAGCGGGCTAATTTAACGTCAAAAGTGACTCGTTTCGAGCCTGTACATGGCAAAATGAAGATGGTAATAATAGTTCGGTCCGATCTCAAAATGGGTTGTGGAAAAATCGCTGCTCAGGTTAGTTATCTCATTCCTAATAATCGCAATCCAAAAGTGTTCACATGCTGCCATTTCGTGTTATGAGGAAATTACCGAAACAAATCCGGGGATTTTGGAAGCATGGGAGGCGCAAGGACAGCCGAAAATCGTACTTCGAGTTGAAAACTACGAGGAAATGTAGGTCTAGTCATCCTACTCATACCCTGACGTCTACCTTATTTTCGTTCTTAGGCTAAAACTATCCAATAAAGCTGAATCTTTGGGTCTAGTAAATTCAATAATACATGACGCCGGTCACACACAGGTGCCTGAAGGTACTGCCACTGTTCTCGGAATAGGACCAGGTTTGTGTTTAAAGTTTTTATTCGATAATTTTCTGTTTCCTTCTTAGCATTAGCTTCTGATATCGACTCTGTTTCCGGTGGTTTAAAATTGCTGCCTTAAAATTACGCTCAGAAACTTATAAAGAATGCTGCAGTATTAATCCAAAATTATTTTGTACTGAAGATTTCGAGATAAAAATATACAAGAGTATTTCTGCATTTTAAACAAACTTCAGTACTTACATTGTTGGAATTCTGCGACTTATTTGAAGTTACCTAAAGTCTATTGTTTGTTAGTGTATATTTGCTTACAGTTGTTTAGTGATGTAATGATAAACCGCACTTACCAAACTGCCGTTTATATTACTCTATGAAGATTATAGATTCGAAGTCATACACTCAAAAGTTCAACTTGCTGTAATCATATGTTAATTTTGTACCTAATTCAATCGATCCACTTATCATTTCGTACTAAGTGAACATGATGCAGAGACGAAAAGCACGCATCTATCATATTCTAGGTGTGATTAATTTACGTCTAACATCTTTCTAAAATGTCGTCGCCAGTTTATCACTATAGTTTTGGTATAACAGTGTGCTTCATACTTACAGATTACTTACTCCTTGTTACCTCCAGTGGGGCATAGGCGTCCGACCAACATTATCCAACCTACTGTCCTGGGTCTTTTCTTTCCTTGTTCATTTTTTCTCATGTCTGTCTCCATTTCTCTGCGTAATTTGTTATCCGGTCCTCCTCTTCTCGTTTGACCTTAAGGATTCCGGTTGAAAGCTTGTCTTGTGATTCATTTCGGTGCTTTCCTGAATGTGTATCCTATCCACTTCCAGCAATTACTCATTATTTGTTCTTCCGGTGGAATCTAGTTTCTTCTCCCTCACAGTACGGTTGTTGCTGATATTATCCAACCGACTGTTAATAAAAACCTGTATTTTCTGGATGATGGCTTTCGTAGTTCTGCCCCATGTAGTGGAACTGTTTTGGCATTGATATTGAAAATTCTGACTTTGGTATTTTTTGGCAGTTGTTTCGAAATCCATATGTTCTACGATCGTAAAAATGCAACCTTTGCTTTGCCGATCCGCACCTTCACACCTACATCAGATCCACCTTTCTCATTAGTGATGCTGCCCAGATACGTGAAGGATTTACATCTTCCAAAGTGTGATCTGGTTGGTGCATGTTGTGTTTTATATCAGCATCTTTGCTTCTCCCTTTGTGTATTAGCAATGATGTTAGGAAACGAGTACTAGGTAAGGATGACAGTTCAATAGATGAAGTATTGAAACTTTATCAGTTGAAGTGGTTGTGTATGCCTAACTACCGACTGCCTTGTCGAGCGATGCTTTGCGGCGTAGTAGGCTGGAAGAAAACTAGGGGCGGCCAGACCAAAACATGGCAGAAATCTGTGAAGTCATTGATAAATGGACGGAGTCATGCTGGTAGGTGCAGGCTACCTGGTTTTGACCCGCGAGATGATAATAATCGATGGTTAGAGAGCCTGAATGTCATGTCTGAGAACCGTTTGCAATGGCGCAGGTGTTTTCATTCTTTGTGTTCTCGTAAATGCTAACCTTCAGAGTTCCACATCATCTTTTTCCTTATAAGTTCCTTCCACTAGATTCTACTTCTTAACTAATATCCTCGAGTCCTAATCTCCCCGACCGTTAATACGTCTACTACTATGGGATTTGAATTGGCAATTGCATCTGTTTGCTAATGTGGTATGGCAACTTGAACTGATGTACGCACGTACGAAGTTCTACGTTGCTGTTGATTGATTGAAATGTATTCAAGCGAGCATCTGGTTGTAATAAGGCTATCCAGCTCGTAAGATGACATCCCTCTTTTAGATAAATTCTTATTGACTTCTATGCATTTTCATCTCAAATAAGCTTACAATTGTCTCAGTCGAATAGTGATCAGCGGGCACCACCTACTCCTTACTTCATTATGCCGTTTACTTCTTATCGACAAACATACCTGTGATGGTTTCGATGTTACTTCATTACACTCATCGATATAGATTTGCCAATCAAAATTTTCTTCAACATCCTGTACGAAAGTAAAAGCTTAGGACACTTCCACTAAAACTGTTAGCTGTAATACCGCATAACCTGTGTACGGGCGTTTGTTACGTATATGGAAATTTCATATCAGTTTTTGGACGTCTTTTCAGAACTAAACTTTGTGTCATCAGAGCCAACACCCAGCCGGACGTACAAACGAACTGACGAATCAAAGATTATTTGGAATTTCAAGGTCATACCATCTACTAGTAAAAGTGTGAACACATCTGGCGCCGTAACAAACTCTCGAAGACATCTTGCTCGGCGGATGTCAAGTCACCCGGTGACTTCGCATGCACCTTACTAACAACCGATCTTATTTGTGCCAAGGCACAAACATGCAGTAACCACCATTCAGAATCAAATAAAAAAGGGTCAAAACAACAACAGTATGTATCTGCAATGTATTCACAAATATAGCTGAATGTTGTAGTAAAAAACGATAGTATGTAATGATTAAATTGCTGAACTGAGAATGGACAACGTTTGCGGTTGGCAAACTAATACTGAGGTAAACAAAACTAAGTATCAAGCAGCCACTGGTCTAACTCTTTGTTTGTAGCTATGATGCTATCAAGCTAGTTAGTTAATGAGTATTACAAAATTTTATTTACTTATCAGGCTACGAACCCGATATTATATTCTCGCTATTTCTCTAGCGTTTGCGAATTACTCACACCATTGATCCACTGTTCAGTAAACTGCTGGGTAAAAAGAGAGTAGCAGAAGTGCGGTTATACTTCACATCACAGAGAGATTCACTAACTCCCGAGTATACCAACATGCACATATTTTGGACGATTACTGCAAAGGAACTTAAATGTATGGTAAATAAGGAAACATGCAGGAGCCTCAGAGAAAATCCTCATGATATAATCCAAATAATACAAACACCATGTTGCTATTTAAGAACGAATACCATTCTATCATGGACCAAGTGTTTCCCATCTTGCATAATTATCCACCATTAGGTTAAAGATATGAATACACCTAACAAAATATCTGACTAAGCCAAGTACATGAATGTGTAGTTAGTTACTTATATTCTTTTATCATGATGTAGGAAAAATTAATTGGTATCATATGCTATTTAAAAAAAGTCGCAACAGTGTAACTTTTAGATCTATCACGTATTCCCCCGAAAAATCGGATTCTTCATTAATTAAACGACGCCATAAGACTCTACTTGATCTATTTCAGGATTGAAATTCAGCTAATTATATGTACTGTTCCGTATATGTAACCGGCTTGACAATTTTAAAACACATTAACCTTTAGTAACTTTTATGTGGCTAAAGAGGAAACAATAAAATACACAATGGACATCATATTCTGTTGGCGTTGTTGTCCATCACATCTTTGTTTGAGAAGATCGGCGACAATATGTCTAGTAATAAAAAAATAGTGATATATCTGTTATATCCATATGAGTAGGAACTAAAACTGCTGTTCGCAATGAGAATTTACTGAACTTTGTAACACAGAGGCGAAAAGATAAAATTCTACTGCCACTAAGAAACTGAAACTATAGTTGTTAAGGGTTTGAATATTCATCAAGAAAATAAATGAATAGTAGTAAAGACATGTTGCGCAATTTAATGCTGTAGTTTAACTCAAATGCGACCAGAAAGAACATGGGAATAAGAGTAAGTTGGTTGGGGTAGAAAAATTCTGTTAATAAAACCGGTAAGTCATCATCATGTCGTTGTTAATATCATGAGCTGATCGTAGTTGAATAACCACTGCGAAACAGAGCAACAGTAGACAGCTGTTTTGTCCTAGTAGCCGCTGAACAGTAATCAAGATAGGGTCCGTGATGCTAACCATAAAACTGGAAAATCTCCGTAAACCGCCTACAGTAATTTACTATTTGGCACTGTCAATTTTCCCCGAAAATTCCACTACAGGTAGGAACAGATTTTCATTACTAAATACTGCTCTAGAGTACCTATGAAACTTTTCGTACAAAACACCAATAACATCATAACCGTCAATAAATACGTTGATTTAAGAAAAAGCATTATCAATGGTAAGAAAAACAGAACAATTGATTTATGTACACAACCGAATAAAATATAAAAACTCGAAAATTTTTCATTGAAACTATGTAATACAGTGAGCAGATTTATCCTAATAATCTTCCACGAAAATCGATGATACAACATTAGATTGTACTTGAGTTTGTGCATATCAATTGACTAAGTCTTGGTTCTGGAGCATATTTATGTCTAGGTCGACAAATATGTGATAGTGATTTATTACAATTGCTAGTAGTATTATTTAAATGTTTCGAACAAAGATTAGGTTCTTGAAATTGCAGAATAACTAATTTTGTAGGTTCCATACCAATGCGACTTCCAGCAGCACATATTAAACGTTCTTCAGAAGCAACTATACGCCAAATAACACCACCTCGTCCAGCTCCATCAAGGCGTAAAAGATCTCGAATATATGCACCAGACTGTTTGTCCCACAATTTCACTGTACCATCATCACCAGATGATATAATAAAATTACGAGTTAACTGAACACATGTAACAGCGGATTGATGTTTATGAGGTCCTGTACACATAAATAAAACTCATTATAATACTACCACCAAATAGTAAACACAGCTGACAATATGGCATCGGTATAAGATTACAAATGAATAATATCACAAATTTAGAAACAATTATTAAAACTGGGCAAATTCTCCATGTGTTATATGATTGAAAATAGCTGACAGGAAACCCTGGGTATATCTGTAATATTGAGGGCACTGGTGATAACCAATTTATCCGACCCCATATCATTCAAATTCGGTCTCAGGCGTTAACAGTAAGCTACGTAGATCGCGAATGATCCTTGTATACAAGTGAACAATGAAATAGGTCATTCTGTCAGTTATAACGTAGAACTTCGTACGTAAGTACATCAGATCATGCTGCCATACCACATTAGCACAAAGAGGCAAATGTCAATTCAAATCCCATAGTGATAAAGATAGTAGAGGTATTAATGAAAATGAAGAAGACTAGGGTTCGAAGATATTATTCAAGAAGTATAATTCAGTGAGATAAGGTTAGAAAGACAAAACTAGAGGTGTTGACGAATCTAGAAGATTAGGAATTCAGAGAACACAAAGAGTAGATGCACTTGCGCCATTGCGAACGATTTTGAGCCATGTCGTTCAAGGTCTCTAACCATTGGTGACTTTCGTCTCGCGGACCCCAACCAGGTAGCCTACATCCACCAACATGACTCAGTCCACTTGTCAGCGATTTCATGGATTTCTGCCATGTTTCGGTCTGGCCGCCCCTAGCTTTCTTCCAACCTACTCCTACACCACAAAACATAGCTCGTCGAGGCAGTCGGTGGTTAGACATGCATAACACATGTCCCAACCACCTCAACTGATGAAGTTTCAATGCTTCATCTATTGATCTGCCATCCTTATCTAGTACTCGTTTCCCTAACTTTGGCATTGCTTACTCGGTTGTCCTACGATATACGAGCAATGCTTAGGAGACATCTATGATCGAATACTAGTAACCTACGAACATCTACTCTTAACGGCCATGCTTCGCATCCATATAGGAGAACGGAGCAAACTGCTGTGCAGTACACTCGTCCTTTAGTTAGGGAACAGATATATCACCTACGCTGAAAATGGCGTAAATTTGCAAAAGCAAATCAAGCTTTCTGTATCCGTGCTGAGATTTCGTCAGTCACCAGGTCATCAGCACTGGTGAGACTCCCCAGATAAGTGAAGTGATCAACACGCTCGACTACTTCACTCCCTATCGCTAGTTCAGGTGCCGATGCAACCCAGTCTTGAAGCAACATTTTGCGTTTCGGGGGGGGATACCGCATCTCGAACATACTCGCATTGTTGCTTATGGTAGTCAGAAGACTTTACATTTTGTCATCGGCATATTCTAGCTCAGTAAGTGATCCTTCTGGTAGAAGGTCAACCCCTGAAAAATCTGACGATGATAATGTTAACACTGAAAGTATGTCTACGACAAAGTTAAACAAAAATGGAGAGAGTGGACAGCCCTGACGGACACCACTTGATGTAGAGAATTCAGATGACAGTTCGCCATAAGCTCTCACCAGGCCAGAGGTGTTAGAGTAGAGAGCTTTTATACGGTTAATGTACTTCCTGGGTACACCTTTCGATGACAGACACTGCCACAGAACCTCACAATCCACAGAGCCAAATGCCGCTTTACGTCCAGGAACACAACTATTGTCGGACATCTAAATGTGTGTCTGTGTTCCAGGACCTCTCTAAGTGTGAAGATGTGGTCTATACAACTACGTCCAGGTATCAAACCAGACTAGTTTTCTCGTGTCTAAATCAAATAGGTAATGAACGTATAATCATTTGACGATTAAAAAGGTTGAATTTAAAATGATGGTACACAATACACAAGATGAAGAGAATTTCACAGGAGCATTGCATATTTATGAACATTTTCGCGAACGATGGCTGCACCAAATCTATTGCCTTGCATTGGTTACATACCACAAGCTGAGTTTCTGTTCGGTTGGTAAGTCACATTAGCATCGATACAACTAAGCATATCAATATAGGTGTTACACACTAGAGAGATGTATATGAAAAGGTGCTTAGAAAAATAAATAACGTATATGAAGTCTCAGGATAAAGCCAGAATATACGTGTCAAAACAACTACATTTTGAGTAGATGTATATATATGTAGTATTAAGAGATGTGAATTCACTAGCCTGAAAGATTATCCGTATTTCATGGCACATCCTGAAGTGGGTCAAATGCAACTACAATGAATTTTATTTCAAATTAAGAAACTTGTACAGCGGTATGAGTCGATCTAACCACTAACAACATAAACCATCTTAAAACGTCAATGTTTTAACAAATTGGTCATATGCTATTATCCTTATCCGTCCAGACAAACCTAGAGGATCTCTTCCTAATAATATCATTGAAATATAGAAACAGATTAAGTAAACACCGACCACGAAACTAAAACATACGTTAAATAGTATAGACTCACCGGCAAGTACATGTACACACTTCCCACTATTCATATGCCAAACTCGTATTGTTTCATCGGCATTACTTGATACAAGAATATTTTGTTCAGAACCGAAAGCTAATTCACTTGTTAATGAGCGGTGACCATAGAATGTTTGCTTCAATGCACCAGTATGTGCATTCCATATACGTATAGTTGTATCCAATGAACCACTGATAATATGATAACCATCAAACAATAAAGTATAAACACGATTTGTATGTGCACTGAAAACACGTAAACAATGACCTTGAAGTGCACACCATAATCGAATCGTACAATCATAACTACCGGAAACAATCTGATCACCGGTGAACTGAACACAACGTATTGCTCCACGATGACCTTGAGTGGAAGCAGACGCAAATGTAAAACATTTTCCATACTTAGTTCTCTTTCTGAATTTATCGATTCAAAATATTATGAACTTCTCTTTAGCTGCCTAAGACTATATTCTTAATCAAATATAACATAATTGGAAATTATAGACATTGATGACAAAAAAAGAAATTAAAACAACAACGATTATTTGTATTACACAAACATATTAGTAGGAAAGTATGCGCAAGATTATTTGGAGATGGAAATCGGAAACATAGGCAGAGTAAGGTAGTAACTATCTACAATTTGGAAATCGATAAGTTGGATTGTGTACTAATCATAAGGGATTTGAAGAGTTTACATAAATTTCGAAAACTGAGTGGTTGAAAATCAAAAATGAATGATAAGGTAACTTTAAAGCGGAAGAACTAACAGTTAGTTACCTTAGCAAAGATCTGATAAAACACAAGATAATAAATGAATTTAAGGAAATTGTGAATTTACCAAAGTCGTAATAAGTTGATATCTCTTTATGAACATATGTACCCGGTTCGGTGTTTTTTTTAATAGTTACTAAATAGCGAAGCGTACAAATGCTGAGTTGTTTTTGTGTGTTGATAGTTTTTAAGGATTGGCAAATATTGTTAATATGCCCGCTATCGATTAAATTACGAGCTATTGCACTGTTCTAACACTCTAGACTTCCGTCTCAAATTCGTTTGAGCGTGCTCGTGACCACAACCATCTCCTTTTCTCTCCGTTCTTCCAATTCATACAATTTGCATGCGTATACCAAAGAACACACATTACAAGAATAACAGGGAGAAAAGTATTTCCAAGTAGGCTGTAAGAGCTGACCTAGTCAAAAACCCGTATTCTTAAACATGTTGCTGACTGGATATTGTATAGATTCTCATGTTAATAAAAAACATTTAAATTCCAGTTGGTATAATGACTAATTTCATATATAAATGTATGAAGTTATCGATTATTTTGTTCTTGTACAAGAAACTTGTTGAAATGCTTTGTGTTGATGACTCAATACGTTACTAATTCTATTACAGTGAATAAAGCCGTTACTAATATTAGTAATGTTTCAAATAATTCGAAAACAAAAGCCCTCTCTGATTTTCACTCATCCAGTTTTAAAAACTCATGTTACGCATGCACAATCACTTCCAACCTCGACGGCCGATGTTATTTGATGTGATAGTAGTCTGGAAGAATGTGAGGACTCCCAAACGAAAACGTTGCGCCAGTTCATGAGGCGTTTTACAGTTGAACTAGATTATATTAATAGGTGTAAACTATCTGGTTGTCAGTCAGTCAGTTACAACGTAGAACTGTCTCGTCATAAACAGTGTTTAAAGACTGAGAGATATAGTTTAGAATCGTTCGCAATGGTGATGGTGCATTAACTATTGTCCTGAAATCTCCTTACAACTTTCCCTGATTTTCTTATACATTGTTTTTTACTACTACTAATACTGTTACCAGATCTAGTACTCTGACATTTTTTCGATAATTTCATATAATTGTGCTAATGTGGCATGACAACCTGAACCAATACTCATATATGTCGGGACTTGTGGTGCGTAAACTTAGCAAAACTCAGGTAAACTCTTCAAATCCCATTATGATTATTACACAATCCAACTTATCGATTTCCAAATTGTAGATAGTTACTACCTCACTCTGCCTGTTTCCGATTTCCATCTCCAAATAATTTTGCGCATACTTTCCTACTAATATGTGTGTGTAATACAAATAATCGCTGTCGTTTTAATTTCTTTTTCTGTCACCAATGTCTATAATTTCTAATTATGTTATATCTTATTAACAATACAGTTGTAAGCAGCGAACGAGAAATCATGAAATGACATGAATTTATATCCATACACAATATTAAAAACACGAACTGATCTCAGCTAAACCACCATTGAAAACATGGAAGCAGTAGACATAACAAAATACATTACAATACTTTGTCGTGTTTAATTTACTTGATTAGCAACAAATCCAACAATATATATTATTGATCACTATGATATTCTGTCTAGTGATACAAAATACAACTCATTTACAGTAAATGTAGGATAATTTGGTGCACTTTAAAGCATCCAAATACTAGTGATACTACCACCGAACAAAAGTGAGATCTTAAAATTATAACCGGTTTGTTGTAAGTAATGCATAAATAATATGATGTATATTAGAAAATTATAAATTTATATACTCAAATTTCAGCTGCAAACTGTTTGTATGAGACAGTTATAAGCAATGTTGAGTCCCCGCTTGGGACTGGCAGTAGCCCCAGAGGGGCGCCAAGCGGAGTTTGCTTTGAAATACGATACTTCTAATTGGTATATTACTATTAAGTAAAGAGGTTAGCTTAAAAAAACTTATATCTAGTGGAATTCAGTACTGAGTACCGAACGATTATTTTTGACAAAATTACCTGAGAGTATCTCTCGATCTACTTACTTCCTAGACTGTATATAACGCTGTTTACACTGAATTTTATTTGACAATTTTAAACAATGAATATAAACATAGTCAACAACAGTAAAAATAAACCGTGGAATTATTATACATAAGTAGTTTGTTCTCTTTTATTTAAATAGGCATAGAGTAGGCATAGTAATCAATAGATCATGTTCTACTATATATATCGTGTTCACTATTTTGTCTCATTTAGTCAGCCAATTAAACTATACTATAAATACTGAAATTGAAATAAACAATTCAACAAGTTACCTCGAAATTCTTGTACACATTCACCAGTTAATACATTCCATAGACGTAAAGTTGTATCACGGCTACCTGTAACAACTAGGTGACCATTTTTGAAAGCTTGCTGTTGCTTCATTAATTGAATCGTTGAATTGAATTCATCGTTTGATAAAATTGGATCAGACAATCTACCATCACTATTACTACTACTATTGGTTAGATTAACATTGGAAGTTGTTTTATGCAGAATATCGTGACTAGAATTATTCAGTTGGTTATTAAATATACTATTCGCTAATTCTTTGTCCAAGTCATCACTCCCAATACCATCATCATTATCAATATTAGTAGTAGTAGTAGCAGTAGTTATGTTATCAATACTATTATCATTATTATTATTATTGTCGTTAGTGTATACATTTGTCGAACGCTGATAATCATTAGAATTGGTAACAACAAATTTCGGACTAGAATGTAATTTTTGACTAGCTACACATCGAACAGTCGATTGATGGCCAAACAATGTAGCTAAACAAGGCCAACGTTGACCATCTAACTGCCAAACACGAGCTGTTCGATCACAGCTACCAGATATAAGTAAAGGATGCTGACATAGTTGTTTATTTTCCGACATCAATAATAACTGACGTGGTATCACAGTCATTGACCAAACACCACCAAGATGACCGAATAAATTAATTAAACACTGGCCAGTATTAATATCCCAAATACAGATACTTGAATCATCGGAACCAGTAATTGCCCATTCTTCATATACTTCTAAACATGTGATAACATGATTCTATAATGATTAAAACATTAAAATCAATATATATATATATATATATATATATATATATATATATATATATATCAACAATTACTCATAAGAAAAACAAAATTTGCTTACTTTAAAGATCAGTAACTTCAACTATATGACATTACTAAAATGTCAAAAACCTACTGTCTCTACTTTAATCAGGTTCTAAAACAAACATTTGCTCTGATGAATAATATTTAACGTTTCTTTTTTTATAACTAATTCAAGAAAAAAAAACAGGATTTAATAATAATGAATAGTTTTACACTGTAAACTTAATGGTTTCATACTTTAGACTATTTAATTAAGGTGCATCCACTCTCCGTGTTCTCTCAAATTCTAATCTTCTGAATTCCTCATCACTATATTTTTCTTTCTAAATTTACTTCACTGAATTATACTTCTTGAATACTTCTACTACCTCTACCACTATAGGATTTGAACTGACATTTATGTCTCTGTGCTAATGTGGTATAACAACCTGTACGTACGTACGATGTTCTACGTTGTAGCTGACTGACTGACTTAAGGTGTGTATTGATCATCTTTAGATTTTTAACTACATTACTAATACTTCAAAAGAGTTACAGCTGCAAACAGACGGCAGTGAATCAACAACACTGGTAACATTTTTAAACATTAAAATAGAGTAAGCTCAATAAGCTCACCAACTAATTTATGATCTTGGATCAAACTTCTACCCTTTACACAAACGTTGTTTAATTAATAGTTTCAACATATAAGAAGAGAATGATGACTAAATGCCCATTATCTTCGTATTTCTCACTGCTTCATTTATCGAACATTTACCAATATCAAATTATAGCTATTATGCATTGCGCTCTGCTCATTCAATATGACTTCTAATATTTTGTTTTAGCCATGGGGATGGGTACGTTGAGAAAAGGCAAAGATGTCTTTTATATTGTAAACAAGAATTTATTCGTCACCAATTGCTGAGCTGTTAGTAAGCCAATCAATTCTGTTTCCATACTTTACATCCAGTTTCCTACTCTTCTGCAGTTCCATACATGATCTGTTTTATTAAGTACAAACCACTCGGACGAAATGAACAAGTGCCGTAGTCAACTTCTTCATCTAACCACCTTACACAATGAGTATCATGCATCATACATGAATAATTTCATAAGTATAAAATCATTTAAATAACCCCTTATCTACAGTCAATCACATTTATACTTCTTCCAACTAATTAAAATAGCAATTGTAGCCGCTTGATGAGCGTATTATCTCGAACTAAAATCTTAAGATGCAACTTTCTGTCATTTCGAAATACGACAGACTCTTTAGGATTCAAATGATTTTGAAACCGAATATGTATGCAGAATGGACCACCCTCGACAACCGAAGACTTCTCGAGAACTGTGAAGGTTATTTTCGCAAAAACTTCTATTGGCTGTAAGAACGACTGTTATGCAGTATCTAGAGAAACAATCGGTCATGAACATCAATTCTAAATCCCACTCATGAGACAGTAGTTGAGTTTTGAATGAAAGACCCGAACTGTGAGCAAAAAAGTAATCTAAAACCTCACTACTTTTCGACACTACATAAGAAAAATGTACCTCACAGGTATTAATTATTCATATTAGTCCAACATCAGCATTCTGCTATACGATGAAGTAGCAGTAAATAACCTCGTAGAGATGCTAGCAACATTACGATTTATGATCATGAACGTTTCTGAGGTGATTATCAACTATTTTGAAAAACTACTAGTAGGATCCTTAAGCAATGACAACAGGCCTGCCATCAACAACAGTCTGAGAAGATTCTGTAGGGGCGTCATATATTTTTCAGTGTTGATTGAGACAAATAGATAAAAAGCCTTATATCTATGTTTTGTTCCGAAAAAATCCATCAGTACTGTATTTCCTGTGATCAATGAACTGTTGTTATTCTCAGAAATTCAGGCCCTGATCACCCAGTGCATTATTCAAATACGTTGCCAGCCACTAGTTCAGACGGCGAAAGATCTACGATAAAGTTTACACTAACTGACCACAAACTTAGCCAGGTGCATTTCCAGGGTTATTGCCCGTCTTAAGCCACGATAAAGGAGGAGCTTTGAGCACGGCATTAGCAACCCCATCACGTAGAAAACAAAGTTGTTTAAAAAACGTTAACCATAAAAATAACTTAAAGCTGGCAGCTGGAAGCTCGCGCAATTGTCGCGCCTCATGTTGAAAGCCTAGATTCTCCGGAAATCACGAAGCTTATGCCCACAATCAGTTGGATGGAATTCACCACTCTATATCAACTTTCTCGATTACTGAAACGTTTTGGTGTTATAACCAGTCGAACTAGGGTTATCTGGGAAGTTTTTTCTCCTGTTTTAGTTGTATTGGAAGTAAAAATACTAACAGTAATCCAGACTTTACTGAAAATCAACGATCAAAAACAATTTTGACAGGAGGAAGATTTATCGTTTAAGCAACCGTTGCAAAGGAATGTTCACTACTAGGTAAACATGAATTATCTACTATTTCAGTTTCTCCAGCATCTACCAGAGGTGATGAGAATTCTAAAAGATAAGCATCTGTCAACTTTTACCTTGACATACAGTCCTCCTATACTCTCGATGCTTGGTCAAAACTTATCAGTACATTACAGTTTATGGTTTCTAAGTAGGTACTAGACCTGTGACTGTCCGACTTACGACTATCCTTATTGAGCTTCAGAAATAAGAAGTACTATATACAGTGTTTGAATTTTTAACTAAAGCAAGAACAATTAACGTTTCAGAATAACATAAATTATTCATATTTAGTAGTTCCTAAACATGATATCCTTGATTATTAAAATCAATGTACACATTTTAAGGTCATAATATTAGAAAAATTATCATCAGTGTAGATTAACGAATAGATAGATAAGTATGGAAGAACTGCAAGAAATGTATATACATGAAATAATGTGAATATTTAGGGGTTGAGTATTGAAATATTCTAGAATAAAAACTAAGAAACAGCATTATTTAGAAATGAAATATCAATGATAAAGTTATGTAATCCATAAAACAAAATAAAATCAACTCTGAGATGCAGCGACATCTATTTGAAGGGTCCTAAACAGGACGAAAGACGCGTCCTGGATTTCACTGCTAGCCATATTCCATCTACTCTAAAGTAAAATGTTAGTAAACTTACATGATGAGCTGGTACGATGATAGGATGCCATGGTCCACCATTTCTCCAATTACACTGAGTATGTAAATCTTGACGATATAAAGACTTCCAATTAACCTATAAGAAAGAAACTAATAATATTAAAACATTCTAGAATATAAAATAAAAGAATGGACAAAGATGTAATCATTAAGCTCACATGTCGATAGGTAACACGCTATGAATAACAAAACTACCCCAGGTATGATAATATTCGTGTCCAAAATATAGATACAGCAGTTTACAGATTAGTAAGCGGAATGTCGCACTATAAAGCTGAAAATTCGTCTTCGGAGCATAGTCATAGTTTGAATATATCGTCACAAGTAATCATTTGTGTATGGAGTTGACCAACGTCAGTTCAAATGTGAAACCTATTGATAGGTGTTATTTAGCCAACTTTACTACTCGAGATATTGCCACTAAGCTATTCGGGAGGCGACTGATCTCCTGTAGGACTGATGTGTGTACAAATGATTGATTGCTTAGTAGTAACCAATATCGTGTTTGTCTAGTCTTTTCAAAAAAATCGAACTCTATCCATCAAGTTACAATGTAGCCAACTAGTCTAACTTTAAACATTTAACATCTCAACATGATGTAAGCGATGCTAAATAACTTGGACTAGTGGACAAATTGCAGCTTGATCAATAGAATTCCATCAACATTAAAAGACTAGATAATCATGAAACTAGTGACCATTCTGTGATCGATCAATTGTAAATATATCCTTCAACAAATGGATAATTAATGAACTGATAATGGTGAATTTCATAGTGAACTTATGATTGATTAATTACGACTTTTTCTCACTTTTATCAGTGAGTATGCGATTACATTTCAAATCTTCGATGATTAAATTATACTAGAAGCTATGATTTAGTGAGCGAAGCATTCATATTCAAGTTAGTTTTAATCTGACCCTACTGAGTTCGTATGGTTCGAGTAACAGAGTAATTAGGTATCACTAGACCTCAACAGAAAAAAACTGCATGGCTCAAAATCGAAAGTATAAATCATACATTTGGTAAATGATTTGCATTATAATCCGGATATTGAGAGAAAGTAAATAATTTTTTGAAAAAATGATTCAATATTAAAATTACCTACCTTGTTCAAATGAAAACAATTTTGAGGATCACTAGTATAAGATAAAGCACACAGTGACTCGCCATCAGTATCAGAAATTTGAATATGATCACTTTTCATGACCACATCACTTTCATGTGCTGGAAGAGTGTCTCCATCAGCAGTAGTATTACTATTATTGATGACAGAATTTTCAAAAATGCATTTTGTCTTATTACAAAGTGAATTCGTAGATTTATTTACACATGAAAGACAATTTAATTGGGTACCTAGATTAATTTGTTTTTTTGTAGATGCAATGAACATTTTATCAAATAACAACAAATAAACACATTACCTAAATAAAAGTTAATTGCAGATTTGTTGAATGTGTTAAATAATCCAGCATCTATACACAAACGATACCAAAGTAAATTATCATCACAAACAAGTTGCCAAGTTTTAGAAACCTACAAAAAAGATAAGTTGAAAAAAATATAGAAACGAAGAGGGGGTCAGTCACAACCAGAGTAAAACGTGACACCTATGTGCATCAGTGTAAGTCGCCATATATGGGATAGAAAAGTAGTTTCATTAACATCACAGGTTTGTGGAAACTGATTAACTTTGCAGTCCGTATCACGAATAGTGGCTAGACAATTATTGGAAACCAAGAAAAACTGAACATCTATTTCGTTCTAGTCCGGAAATATTCAGAAATGCTGTGGAATGACTAAAGTAAAAAATGTTAATCATCAAATGGCAACTGTGGTCGGAAGGACAAGCACTCGCTGTAAGGCCTGAAAGTCTTCAGTTTAATAGCTAGTGAGGAACCCCTGCTTAGGACGGAACGACTATCTAACGCTTAATGGTTTTCAATGGCGGTGGATACAGGAAATATAATAAATGAAGGCAGAAGGCGCTAGATAACACTATACAGCTATTTCTACTGATCAAGAAAACAAATATCAAAAAAGCAAGCGTTAGTAAGGCTGCAGTGCCTCCACATACATTTGAGTTCGCTCATATTTAATTTGGTTAAGCCTTTCAATTAATTTATTTAACCAAGCCATTTGTATAACAATGACATATATGTACCATTGGCTTTTATTATTGTCTGGTTTGTATGAGCTGGTACGACTGAACACTGATTACCACCTACACGCATATTTATCCCATTCGCTTTAATATTAACTTCTTAAATATTTCGATGACTCATCCATTTACCTATGTATATATACATCTTTATCTTATTAATTCATTCACCAATACATCAATTTGCCGATTTACTTACTCGCTAGCGTGCTTGCCCTTCTCTGTGTGCTTGTAGTCTGCTGGTTCATTTGTAGTGCGCCGAAATAAACGTATTCAACACTTCGTGTTCACCTACTGATTTATAAACCGTCATGCGCTATTTAGTAACGATTGTCTGGACGAGCAAATTACGAAGTCTAAAATCGCATTGGATACCGACCGTCACGAAACTAGTGACACATGCTCACCACAATACTATTTCGGAGAAATATAGGACTGTTATTTGCTCTCAACTGAGGAGATTGGATTGATGATCAGAAGACTTTGGGGAATAGTTCAACTGGTCTTCAGTCACAGCTCGACTGCTCACCATCTCCAAGCAACCTGAATGAAAAACTGATGTAACTTCTTTAGCTCATAGTGAGGTCAAACTGCCATAGGCAATCTAAAGCAAGGGTTGGCAGAAGATCCAGATGGATAAGTCCCGAATACCTCTAGTGACAATGGTTCAGTTGCGGCGGTTAAGCCGACTGAAACTGAGGTCTGGAAGTGATCATATTTGACTGATTGCGATGTCCCAGTTCGTCAGAAAGAATAAAAATCCTCTTGTGATAATCAAAGAGCAATCAGTTTGACTAATATAGTGTCCAAAATATCCTCTGATCCTTAAGTGGAACTGAAGAGTAAACCAGGCTGGTTTCAGACCAGGAGTTAGATTTATTGACTCAGTATTAACTCTCCATCATATTTTATAACATAGACACACGGTCCGGTTCTGGATTATGGTTGTATTATTTGACCGTAGGACAGTATATGGCTCGGTCGATCGACAAATTCTGTGATGGTCTCATTAAATGGGGCATCAAAGAAGTATTTCAAGCTTCTAAAGGCTCTTCGCATGAACATTACGGGTTAAGTTAACACTTATATAGAACTGTCAACCTTAAGTGGTGTCCGCAAAGACTTTTTCCTTTCTCCATTCTTTTTTAGGTTTGTCATGGAAATTCTGATCTCGATTTGGAATAAGCAGTTGATATATTCTTTTTTGATGTGTTGACGAAATTCAGTCCTCTGAGAGCCAAGAGCAACAATGCACATGTGTTTAGGATGCGTTTCTCTTTCTTTATAAGCAAAATTTTGCTTCTCGGCACAATCAATCAATAGCAACGTAGAACTTCGTACGTACGTACATCAGTTCAAGCTGCCATACTACATTAACACAGAGATGTAATTGTCAATTCAAATCCCTCAGTAGTAGAGGTGGTAAAAGTATCAGCAGTAATCGGAGAGATTAGGGTTCAAAGATATTATTCAAGTAGAATCTAGTTAAATAAACTTAAAAAGACAGTGACGAGGAATTCAGAAGATTAGGATTTCAGAGAGCACAAAAAATGAAAGCTTCTCAGCTGATCTGTGTTAACACGCAAATTAATTATAGTGTACAGTAGTTGAGTATGCCTACCACTTTATTTATCAGTCTAACAAAACCTAAACACGGATTTAGGAATTCCGGTTGGCTTTTGTCAACTTTCATCACTTGTACATTAGTTCGCTTTGTTCTACCTAATAGGTATAAAACAACATCATTAATAGAGGATATATCTAAGTTGCTAGTAATCCGACCGTAGATATCTTCGAGCAATTGTTCGTGTATCTTGGGCTATTGAGTTGTAGTGCCTCCACATGTATTCGAGTCCACTTACATCTAACTTGGTTAAGCCCTTTCGATTAATTTATTTAACCAAGCCATTTGCGTGGCAACAACTTATATGTACCATTCTTCCTTATTATTGCCTGGTTTGTATGAGCTCACATGACGTGTCCCACTTGTCATTTAACCTTGTCAACTATTCGTCGCTTTTATTCATGTGTGCCTATTTCGCTTGTCACATATCAATCTTATTTTTGTTTGACTATATATTCTTAGTCACGCTCTATCTCTTGGAGTTGGCTCTTTGCCTACACCAACGCGCTTCGCCTATCCATTCGCTTCCTTAGCCCATTCGTTCGCATTGTAACCCATGGAGTTGGCTCATTAGCCTTCTCCAATTCACGTCGTTTCGTACGCTTTATTCGCTGCTCCGTTCATTCTTCCGCGCATTCGCTCGCCAGTGCACTACAAATGGTGATCCCGACGTCAAAAAAATTAGCCACCACATATGGTGAGCCCGCCGTTGAATGTAACGTCAGTCAGTTGCGACGTAGAACTTCGTACGTATGTACATAAGTTCATGCTGCCATACCACATTATTAGCACAGAAACGCAAATGTCAAATCAAATCCCATAGTGATAAAGATAGTAGAGGTATTAATGGTAATGAAGAAGACTAGGGTTTGAAGATATTATTCAAGAAGTATAATTCAGTGAGATAAGGTTAGAAAGACAAAACTAGAGGTGTTGACGAATCTAGAAGATTAGGAATTCAGAGAACACAAAGAGTAGATGCACTTGCGCCATTGCGAACGATTCTGAGCCATGTCGTTCAAGGTCTCTAACCATTGGTGACTTCCGTCTCGCGGACCCCAACCAGGTAGCCTACATCCACCAACATGACTCAGTCCACTTGTCAGCGATTTCATGGATTTCTGCCATGTTTCGGTCTGGCCGCCCCTAGCTTTCTTCCAACCTACTCCTACACCACAAAACATAGCTCGTCGAGGCAGTCGGTGGTCAGACATGCATAACACATGTGCCAACCACCTCAACTGATGAAGTTTCAATACTTCAGCTATTGAACTGCCATCCCTACCTAGTACTCGTTTCCTAACGACAGCATTGCTCACTCGGTTGTACCAGGTTATACCAGCAATGCTTAGGAGACACCTATGATCGAAGACAAGCAATCTACAAATGTCCTCTACTCAGAACGACCAGTGAAAAGCAAGGAAGGCAAATTAATCGACAACATTGAAGAACAGTGGAACAGGTGGGTAGAACACTTTAAGGAACTCTTGAATCAACCAGCTCCACTGAACCCACTCAACATTGAAGCAGCATCTACGGACCTCCCAATCGATGTTGGCCCGCCAACAATTGAAGAGATTGGTACGGTCACAAGACAAATCAAGAGTGGCAAAGCAGCAGGACCAGACAACATTCCAGCAGAAGCAATGAAAGCAGACGTGGAGGCAACTGTAAAAATATTTCACATTCTCTTCAAACGAACAAGTACCAACAGACTGGAAACAAGGATACTTGACCAAAATACCAAAAGAAGGTGATCTCAGCGAGTGTGAGAACTATAGAGGCATCACTCTTCTCTCAATACCAGGTAAAGTCGTCAACAGAGTAGTTTTAAATAGAATGATGGACTTCGCAGACGCCCAACTTTGAGGTCAACGGGTGAGATTTCGTGAGGATTGATCATGTACCGACCAAACTACAACATTACGGATCATTGTGGAATAATCAATTGAATGGAACTCACCACTCTACATCAACTTCATCGACTACGAGAAAGCATTTGATAGCGTGGATAGGAAAACACTGTGGAGGCTTCTTGGACACTACAGCGTGCCGGAGATCGTCAACATCATACGGATTCAACTGCAAGAACGCGCATGGAAGACAGCTCACAGACTCGTTCGAGGTGAAGACAGGTGTCAGGCAAGATTGCTTACTCTCACCCTTTCTCTTTCTCTTGGTCATCGACTGGATTTTGAAGACGTTAATATCAGGAGGGAAGCATGGTATAC